GATGCAACTTTTCGTATAATAAATAATAGAAAGAAAACCTGACATGATAAATTATTATTGAAATGCGAGATTTCCCGGGAAAATAAAATTTCCCGGGATTTTTCTCGTAGGGAATAAACGGCGGGAATCCCGGGAAAACGGGATCCCGGGAAAGAAACCCTAGTAAGTACGAAAAACCATGTAATGCTAAAAAAAAGTTATAAATTTTAAATCATATATTCCAGTAAATAAAAAACGGAACACATATTTGACGGAAATTAGTAAGATTCGAGAACAACAAAACCTAATGTAAGAGAAAAAGAAGTCAAGATAACAAATAAGTGTTTGTTAAATGGATACCCAAGAAATCTGTTTAGAAAATGGTATGATGATCTCATGTTAAATGGATATAAAGTGAAACAGAAAATTAACAAGTACATATCGTTTCCATATATTAGAGGTAGCATGTGCATGGTCTTGCCTTTCTACGAAATCTGAGATTATTACCGGTAATTGTGTTTAGAGCGGAATGACCTTGAGAACAGCTGGTGTCGTTATTCCTGGGACATTCTCATAGAAGTCTCAGGAGGGGAAGGGTCTAAAGTAGAATAAATACTAGCTGGCTGTATATTTCTAAACATTTTTCAAAAATTACGTTTTTTATTGCGAGTTCTGACCTACCCGACTTAATAGATGTTATTATATATACGTTTAATTAATTAAAAAACTAAGGTGTGTTTCAAATTTACACGGACACGAAAAGATTAAAGTGAAACCCAAATTTGCTGCATGAAGTGACGAATGTTTTATTAAAAATAACATGCATTTACATGTTTCCACACTGGACAATAAGAATTTAATCAAACATTAACATTTAAGCTTCTAATGAAGCAATAACAATGAATAATAATGAAGTAACAATAGTCATCTTTTAAAGCTACAATATAAACATTGAAATAGAAAAATTTGCCATAGAAGAAATGAACAGTAAATAATTTTGTTTTTAATTTATTCTAACTGTATGCTATTTACGTAGATTGCGTTCCGACACGTGGTTCACTGGCGTCACAACATACGGTAAATTCGAATTACGCTTGGAGCTTCTTGACCTGACGAAGTAGCGACATTTCATGGTAGAAAACAGAACTACACCTATAGAATTGTTCTGTAATTATCCGCTAGTTATGCCATGAAAATAATTTCACTTTAAATCTGTTCTGATGTTGAAGTACGATTTCCTGTAAACTAAAGTATTAGTATTACTCATGTACTGTACGTTACATTAGCATTCGAAAATACACACTAATACTTACCATTAAAAATTCTAATAACGTCTTTAAGAACACCGAAAGAAAAAAAAAGAATAGAATGACAAGTGAGAACTATTGAGGAGGAACATTAGGTATCAATAATAGTCTTGATCGTACAATTTTATACATTCCGCTTCTACCTAGACAGTTAACAAAAAGGTATTGTTCATTCTACAAATTTTCCTTTTGTCACGTTTTAATTACCCCTGAAACGTCCAGTTTCCGATAAATAATATACATATCTGCAATAAATAAAAGAAGAATTAATATTACACGTGTATACAACATAATCATTCGAAAACACATCAGTACTTACATGAATGATTATGAAGTGTTTAGAAAGACGCAAACAAGACAAGTAGTATAAGAATACAGAACTTTTCGTACAAATTACAGGGATATTCTATGAAATATGGAAAATTATATCCTAATATCTATCTATCTATCAGTGTCATCCTCTCTACAGAGGGTTGCATTTGATGAACTATTCCTTTCCATGTTTCTCTATTCCAGGCTTCTCTTAAATCCTTTCCAGTCCAGTCTTTGATGTTATCTCTCCAAGTCTTTCGGGGTCTTCCTCTAGATCTTGTCCCCTCCACCAGTCCCTCAATGACCGTTTTTAGTAGTTGTCCTCCTGATCCTCTAGCCAAATGTCCAGCATATCGTACCTTTCTTTGTTGGATATTTATAAGCAACCTTCTCCTCAAGCCCAGCCTGTCCAAAACTTCCTCATTTGTTATTTTCTCCGTCCAACTTATTCTTTGCATCTTTCTCAAGCACCACATTTCAAATGAGTTAATTCTTTCCATCATTT